CTTTAGCCTCTCTTCATATGGGACCTGTTCCAAACCCCTAATCATTTTAGTTGCCCTTTTCTGAACCCTTTCCAAGGCCAAAATATCTTTTTTGAGGTGAGGAGACCACATCTGTACACAGTATTCAAGATGTGGGCGTACCATAGTTTTATACAGGGGCAGTAAGATAGTCTGGGTCTTATTTTCTATCCCTTTCCTAATAATTCCTAGCATCCTATTTGCCTTTTTGACCGCCGCTGCACTCTGTGTGGAAGTTTTCAGAGAACTGTCCACGATAACTCCAAGATCCCTTTCCTGATTTGTGCTGGGCTGTGCGATTCCCACTGACTCCCCCACACGGGGACTGGCCCAGACACCCAGGCCCAGCCTGGGCAGGGAACAAGGCTCTTCCCGGGGGAGACGGAGGGAGGGAGGCGGAGATGGACACCGGGCTGGGGGCAGGGCCGGGGAGCTGGGCAGTTTTTTGGCTGGGAAACATGGAGAGGAGACCAAGCAGAGTGCTGGGGGTTCGGGGGGGCTGTGCACCCTGCCCCAGGGGTCTAGGGCGGCCAGCCCCTGACTCCTCATGTCCACCTGGCGTCTGTGCCGGGCTGGATCCTGGGGAAGCAATAACCCCCCTGTTCTGGCTGCGGAATCCCGTCTTGCTGCTACGGGGGTGCAGGATGGGGGGGACCCGACGCGCCATCACAGTTCTCTCCCCCCTCCGAGAGCGCACTGAGCGGGGTCACTCCTCTTGTGACTGGGGACGTTCGAGTCCCCTGCCTGGTAAAGCCGCAGCGGTGACATTGGCGCTCCCCTTGGCTTGGGCTGGCCACGGCGCTGCCCTGCAGGAGCCGGTCCCCCGTTTGGCTGCTGCACGACTTTGAGGGGGCTGGTGCGCCACTCTCTGTGGTCATACCAGTCCTTCCGCTTCCTTTGGGCTCTGCCCAGGGTCTCCCTGGCCAAGCCCATGAGCTCAGTGAGACTTTCCCAGAAAACCAGGACGTCCCCCACCCGACTCTCCATTCGGGGAGGCCTTCCCGTCCCATAACTCTCCCGGGTCGCCTGGCCGACAGGCCCCCCTATCCAAGGCCAGTCCAGTCCCTCAGCATCTGCAAGGAGGGGTCTGCCTGCACCTCGGCCTGGAATTCCACCGCTGGGGCAGGGACAGGGACCTGTCTGCCCCCTTTGCCTGGGTCTGGGGCTCTATCCCTGCTGGGCCCCGTGTCTGCTGGAATGGGGCCCTGAGCCCCCTGCAGGGAGCCCTCCCCTGGGCCAGGGGTGCCAGCCCCTCGCTGGCTCTGGCTATGGGTGGTGACTGGGGCTCTGTGGGGTCCGTCTGGCCACTCCTCTAGGTCACCCCCCCATCAGCACCTCCGTGGGCAAGTGCCAGTGCACCCCCACTTCCTTGGGGCCCTCCTTGGCCCCCCATTTCAGATGCACCCGGCTACGGGCTCCTTAAACGGGGTCTCAGCGCGATTCCCTTTCTCTCCGGGACGCCCGTTCACACCCGGACCGGCTGTCCGTGAACTCGTCCACCAGCCTCCCAACATCCTTACCATCCACCTTCAGAGGTATGAGGCACTCGCTCTGCAGGGGCCGTCCTGCCCCTACCCGGTACACGGAGAAATCCGCCTCCCGAGGGTCAGGCCTCCCAGGGGAGGTGCACTGAGCATCCTTCCCCCCACTCTGAGCTGAGGTTTGCCGGCCAGCCCCTGCCTCTGGGGCAGCCTGCCCTTCCCCCAGCCCCAGCCAGTTAACCCAGGAAAGTCTC